TTGGTATTAGGATGATATGTGCCTTATAGAAACTTGGAGTGTTTCTCTTTCTTCAGTTTCCTGGAAAAGCTTGAAAAGAACTGGCAATAGGTCTTCTTTAAATGTTTTGAAGAATTCTGTAGTGAATCATCTGGAACTGGGCTTTTGTTTTTGGAAGACTTTTGATTATTGTTTCAATTTCCTTGATAGTAATAGGTCTATTCAGGTATTCCAAATCTCCTTGGTTAAGCCTTGGGAGATTATAGGACTCTAGGAATTTATCCATTTCTTCTAGGTTCTCTTCTTTCATGGCAAACAGGCTTTCAAAGTAGTCTCTGATGACCCTTTGAATTTCTTTGGTTTCTGTTCTGATGTCCCCCTTTTCATTTCTGATGATTTGGCTTATTAGGGGTCTCTCTCTCTCTTTCTCTCTCTCTCTCTTTCTCTCTCTCTCTCTCTTTGTGAGTCTTGCTAATGGTTTATCAATCTTGTTCATTTTTTCAAAGAACCAGCTCTTGGGTTTCATTGATCTTTTAACTTGTTTTTATGGGAATCCAGCTCATTGATTTCTGCTCTAAGTTTTATTATTTCTTTCCTCCTGTCTGCTTTGAGCTCCTTTTGTTGATCATTTTCTAAGATCTTAAGCTAGTGAAGTCAAGTTATTTATGTGGACCTTTCCTTCCTTCCTGAGAACCCTTTGCAGAGCTATACAGTTTCCCCTTAATACTGCTTTAGCTGTATCTCACAACTTCTGGTAGCTTGTGTCATTCTCATTTGTTTCCAGGAATCTTTTGAGTTCTTCCTTGATTTCCTCTCTGATTCACTCGTTCAACATTGAGCTGTTTAATTTCCAGGTGTTTGATTTGATTCTCCGTTTCTGTCTGTGATTAACTTCTATCTTAAGTGCATTGTGGTCTGAAAAGATAGTTGATACAATTTCTATCTTCTTGATTTTGTTGAGGTATGTTTTGTGTCCCAGCATGTGTTCTATCTTGGAAAATGTGCTTTGTGCACTGAAAAAGAATGTGAAAAAGCTTTTGAAGGATGAAAAGCCCTGTATACATCTATTAGCCCTCTCTCTTCCATTTCTTCCTTCAGAGCCAGTACTTCATTGCTGAGTTTTAGTCTTGTTGATCTACCAAAAAGTGATAAGGTGGTGTTGAAGTCTCCGACTACTATTGTGTTGCTACCAATGTCTTCCTTGAAGTCTGTTAGCAGTTGTTTTCAGTTTTTTGCTGGCCTCTCATTGGGTGTGTATATGTTTAGGAGTGTGATTTCTTCCTGATGTACGTATCCCTTGATTATTTAAAAAATGCCCTTCACTGTCCCTTCTAGTCTTTTTCATCATGAAATCTATGTTGTTGGATACTAATATGGCCACCCCAGCTTTTTTTGAGAGAGTTGTTTGCTTGAAAGATCATTTTCCATCCTTTGACTTTGAGTCTGTATTTGCTCTGATTATTCAGATGTGTTTTTTGTAGGCAGCACAATGTTGGGTTCTTTTTTTTTAAATCCTTTTTGACACTCTGTGTCTCTTAATTGGTGAATTTAATCCATTGACATTGAGAGAGATTATTGTCATGGGGTTTGTGTCATCTTCCTTAGAGGTTATTGTGCTTGTAGGGCTTTGTCTTGTCTTACAGTAGCCTCAGTCCCTCTTCCAAGGTTGATTTTTGAGTCTGTGAAGTTCCTGGATGAATAAACAAAAGATTGCTCGATTTGCTCGAGCGGGCCCAGTAACGTCTCCATTGGAGACTTTGTTGTTACTGTGTTTGGCATATCGAATACTCTCGGTAGCTTGCCAGGCTCTCCGAGAGGGGCGGAGGAATCGAACTCGGGTCGGCCATGTTGGCCGCTTGTAAGGCGAACGCCCTACCGCTGTGCTATCGCTCCAGCCCTAAACAAAAGATAAACATGGATAAACATGGATAAACAAAAGAGCTGTTTTTTTATCCATGAAATAGTGTACTGTTCCTTTGAGTCTGCGTGAGAGTCTATCCGGATATTCTTGGGGAGGCGTTCATTTCATTGAGTTTTTTTCATTATATCCCACCACTATCTTTGGGATTAGACTGTTTCCTCTGATAAATCTGCTGTAAATCTAAGGGATGCTCCTTTGTATGGGATTTCCTTCTTTGACCTTGCTGCTTGCAGTAGTGTATATCTGTGGCATTCGTTGTTCTAATTTTGATATGTCTTGGAGTCTTTTTATGAGCATCTCTTATAGCTGGTACCCTTTGGGCTTCTTGGATCTCAATTCTTCAGCTCTGGGAACTTCTAAGCAATGATATCTTTAACTGTTACTGCTTCACTGTAGTTGCCTCCCTCTCCTTTTGATACTCCGATGATTCTTGTTCCTCTTGAATTCATCCCCTAGGTCTCTTATTCACCCTTGTGCTATTTTGAGGTCTTTTTCCATTATATATTGTTGCCTTTTTTCTTTTTTTTTTCTTTTTGGGTCACACCCAATAATGCTCAGGGGTTACTCCTGGCTTTGCACTCAGGAATTACTCCCAGCAGTGCTGGGGGGACCATATGGGATGCTGGGGATCAAACCCAGGTCAGCAGCGTGCAAGGCAAATGCCTAACCTGCTGTACTACTGCTCCGGCCCCACTTCTGTGCTCTCTGCACCTCATCTGCAAGCTCATTGATTCTGTCTTTGGTTCAAGTCATTCGACTGTTGAGGGCACCCGCTGAGTTTTTTTTTTTTATTTCATCTACGGAATCCTTTATTAGTGACAGTTCTGCTTGTAGCTTTCTTATTTCTACTCTCATTTCTTCCTGTATTTTATTGGTTGTCCATTCCACTGCTTCTTTCATATTCTCCTTTTATTTACTGGATGCCTGTATCACCTTTCTTTGAGCTCATTGAACAGCCTCAACATTTCATCTCTGAATTCTTTATCAGAGAGATTGTATTTGTGGGTATTTCCTATTGAGGCTTCAGGACTCTTTTCTTCATCTAGTCCTTGTGGGATCCGCACTGCTTCTTCTTGTTGCTGTGGTAGTATGGAGGTAGGTAGCTCCAGTTCACTATCAGTGCCCCCCTCTCACTGCGAGGGAGGATTCTAGATGGGCACAGTCTATGGTGGTCTCCTTTTTCCCCTTTAAGAATACGACCTCTTTGGTGCTCCTCTGTGCCTTATGTGAGGGCCTCTACTGCAGCTTCAAGGGATGTGTTCTTTTACATTAGGCTTGTTCAGATTCTTGTGCTCATCATTTTGGTGAGTTTTGGTAGTATTTTGATTGGAATAGGCTAGTGGATTATCGGCCTAATGTGTTTGGGATAGCCAGGCTGTCCTCATCAGAAGTAGGTAATAGAGGTTGAGATGTGAGTGCAAAGCTCTGGGAAAGGGGAGAATAACTGCCACCCTGGAGGCCACACTTCTGCCACCTCTGTACCTGTGGGGGGGGGAGCACTTTGGTGCCTGTGCGGGGTTAGCAGTTCACTTCTGGCTCATTCCTAAGACTTGCAGTGTCCCCTTTGGCCTAGGTGCTCAGAAGGCACCTCAGCCGAGAAGGGGGTCTTCAGGTTCTCTGGGTCTGCTTGCTGGGCACCAAAAACTGCGAGCATTTTAAACAGAAAACATTATACAAATAAAATCAGCTTTAATGTCTATATGTGGTTTGAGTTTGCTACAGATAAAAGACTGATTGGGTTAAAGTTTGGGAGCAGATTGTGTGGGGTGTTTATTATTAGGATAAGAAATTTAGATTTGAAGCCTTGGGTTTTAAAAAATCTTCAGCTATCAGACTTCGTTTTGTTTTTATGGGGTGTTAGGGATTGAACCTGCGATGGCTGTGTGCAAGGCAAGCACCTTACCCTCAGTATTCTTTATTTTTAATTTTATTATTATTATTATTTTGACATTAGGGCCACATCTGGCAGTGCCCAGAGCTGACTCCTGACTCTGTATGCGGGGGGGGGGGGGGGGGGGGTGGGGGGAGGCCCGCTAACCACTCTCCGGCCCGTGGAGGTGAGGTGGCCCTAGGGATTGATTCGTTGGTGCAAGGAGGAACCAACCGAATGAACACAAGACACAAGAGACAGAGTGCAGTTTAGAAACAGAGAGGAAAAGGGACAGAACTTTATTGAGGGCTACAGGCTGTTTATATAGGGTCCGGGCAGCCCAGTCAGGAGCAGAAGCAATATAACTATACATGGTAAGGTCAGCAACAAGAGCTTTACCTAGCATTCAAGGTAAATATTTGTATATCAGAGGGTCCTAAGCTTTACATAGCATTCTAGGTAAACATTTGTACATCAAAGGGTCTTATGGCAGTAGATGCATCCTGGAGGTCACTATAGATAAGGTCAGTTAAGATAAGACAAAACAAGATAAGATAAGATAAGGTCAGCTGATGTATGTGGCTATAGATCAGGCATCCTCTGAGGTCAGGAAGTCCTGGGAGACTGTCACCAATGTGACAGATCTACTATACCAGATAGTTATTTTTATTGAAAAAATTTTGTTAATAATGATAAGCCGAACATTGTAAACCATTTATAGATACATATAAGTCCAAGTGAACTAAGGAGGTCATCCTAAGTACACAGCTTTAGAATTTGATGCAATAATTAATATAATTTCTCAGAAAGTATAGCTTTCCCATAATTTTGATCCAAATATGTAACATAAAAAGAAAGCTATTGTAAAGAGTACAGTTTTTTGTGGTAAATTATGAATAATTTTTTTCTATAGAAAAAATATAAAACATAGTAGAAATGTAATTAAAACTTTTGTTGTAATTCTGGGTGAAATTATTTGGAAATGGATTAAAATGATAGAGATTAAAATGGATAGAGAGATGTATAGTTACATGAAAAATATGTCAGGTGCTAATTGTAGAATCTAGATGGTGACACATGGGTATTCATTAAAACATTTCAAATGTTTTTGTATATTTGAAGGTTTTACTAATAATATTGGGGGAGAAAATGAGCCAAAACTGTTCTCTAAAGACTGTTCTTGAGGATTTCACTTCTCTGACTTGAGACCTTGTTTTGTTTTCTACATAGGAACTTTCCGTTGTACCTTTTGCAGAACAGAAGTAGAAGAAGATGAATCAGCAATGCCCAAAAAAGATGCACGCACGCTTTTGGCAAGGTTTAATGAGCAAATTGAGCCCATTTACGAATTATTACGGGAGACAGAAGATGTGAACCTAGCCTATGAAATACTTGAGCCAGAACCCACAGAAATACCAGCCCTAAAACAGAGGTAAGTGAAGGGCTTATGCTCTTACTGGGAACTCTTTTATGCTCACCCTTCTTCTAACTCCTTAAACTTTGGAGAGTAGCAAGGACTGGGTATATAATATACCAGGAATTCTAAGAGTATAATGTTACACAGAGTCTACACTCTGCCACACTTGTCTTACTAACTTAAGCCTGTGATGAAATTTGTATGGAATGGAGAACAGTGTGGGCCTTAGGCAAAAAAATCTTAAAATAGTCATATTTGATTTTAAATACTCTCTTTGCTGAAGCCTACTGCAACTCATTTAATTGTTAGCTGAATTAAATTGGTTGTGCCTGTTGGGTAATATTTGATTTTTCAAAGCCACTTTCTAAAAACGGTTTTTTTTTAAAGAAATAAAGTTTTTTCTTTTTTGTTCTTGAAGCATTTTTGTCCACACATTTCTTCCTTTAGTTTTCAATTTGAGTTTCTTGAAAGTGGAGTATAATAGGTATTAATCACTAGTTTATATTTCTTACTATGGCTCCCTGTTTTTTTATTATCATATACCCCAATAATTGAATGGTAGAGGAAACCTTAGTTTTTTACTCCATAAAAAGTGGTTTATATTCTATATTGAAACGTATAAATTAAAATGGGATGAAGGACTCCTCTTCCTAATCATTTTCTTTTTCCTTCTCACTGTCAAATTGAGGACTTAAGAGTTTCTGTCCATCTGATCCCTTCCATAGATCCAGCTATCTAATTTTGAGATTACTGTTTTTAAAAGTACTATTGGTATTTGGTCCTCTGTTTCTGATATTACAGAAGAGGCAGTTTGGGGGTAGTCTTGAGCAAAATGATTTTGTTGTTATTTTTTTATTCTTGTTGTAGTAGTAACAAATAATCCAACACTTGATTCTCTACAAGTAACTGTAAATTCTCTTGTATCTGGATGAAGAATTTCCACCAGAAGTAGCTTAAACTACAAAAGTAGTAGTAAGAAAAACTCGTCTAGCATAGCCAGGAATATTGAGGTGTATCATACCTCAGAATAAAGTCACCTATAACCTCAAGGATCTAGTTTTTGCCTATGTTTATACTAGACTGAACACAGTCTGTTGGTTATTCTCGTACCATGAGGGAGGTAGCTTAAGATGACCTTGTCTTTCTAGATATCTTCACTGTCACTGTCACTGTCCTCCCGTTGTTCATCAATTTGCTTGAGCGGGCCCAGTAACGTCTCCATTGTGAGACTTGTTACTGTGTTTGGCATATCAAATACATATGTAGATGAAAATGTTTAAATGTGAAAAAAAGATTGCCCCATCTAAAAAATCATTTATTTTTGTGTTGCAATACTATTATTAACGGCATCTCCTGGACATAATTCTGACACGACGTTCATCACCAGTGTAACTGTCTGCCTCTTCATTCATTTACCTTCCCTCTCCCCTGCATCTCCCCCTAACTTTATTGTGTGTCAGTTCCCCCATTATGTTGCCTTTTCCATTCTTTGTTGCTGACTCCTCACTGTGTATCTTAAGTACCACATATGAGAGAGATTGTTCTGTATCTTATGTCCCACTTTAAAACCAAATAAGGCTTTCTCAGAGGACCTTAATCCTACTCTGTCCTTATTGTGGGCTCGAGCGATAGCACAGCGGTAGGGCGTTTGCCTTCTGGCAAGCTCCCCGTGACATATTCGATATGCCAAACACAGTAACAAATGTCAACAATGGAGACGTTACTGGGCCCGCTCAAGCAAATCGATGAACAACATGAGGATAGTGACAGTGACCTGGAATTTATGTGCTTATTTCTAAGCAAGCATGTAGCAAAAGATGCAAGATTATGTGATTGGTGCTTAGGCTAGTTAAGGTTTACCGCTTAGAGGTGGAGAAATTCCCTGAGTTTATTGGAGGAAGTGAATATCAGTATTTGAATCAAATAAGTAGAAGAGAGAAGCCACAATTGGTAAATAATAGATTTCTTTCATATCACAGGTAGCCTTAAATTTTGTTACTTGATATCTTACCAAGATTCCACTTGTTGGTTGTTTTTCCTTTTAGTATTTGGACTACACTTGTTAGTACTCGGGGATTACTCCTGGCTTAGTGCTAAGATACTGCTTCTGGCAGTGCTTGGGAACCATGTGATGCCTGGGATTGAACCTGAGTTTTGTATATGCAAAACATACATGTACTATTGCGTTATCTCTTTAGCCCAAATATTCACTTTTTATTTTATGTATTTGTTTATTTAAAGTTTCAGGCATATCTTGTTCTAATACCAAACCCTTTGCCAGTGTCCATTACCCCCCACCAATGTCTCCAGTTTCCTTCCTGTCCAGCCCCCCACCCAGCCTGCCTCTTTGGCAAGTACTTTTCCTCTACCCTATTGTCCTGGTGATCCCATTTTAATATATCCACTCATCCCCACCCCATAGCGAGCTTCTTACTGAGGACCAGTTTCTCCTCGCATTGTTTCTAATGCCACTGGACATTTGATAGTCTTATGTGAGGTGTTTTTTTTTTCTGTCGCCTTTTATTTTATTTTTTTAATTTTTAAATTTTATTTTTATAGATTGTTCACAATAGTTATTTACATTGAATATTTCAACACCAATCCCACCACCATTACACCTTTCCATCACCATTATTTTGAATTTTACCCCCACCACCCAAGCCTGCTCCATAGGCAGATGCTAAGTAATTTATTTTTTATTGTTTGTTATGAATTTTACCACCACCACCCAAGCCTGCTAGGCAGATGCTAAGTAATTTATTTTTTATTGTTTGTATGAGATATTGCATGGACACTTTTGTGGCCACACACTGAGTTCTGAAATTTTTAAATATTTGGCATCAAGAGGCATCTTTGCGGCATGCTGCTTTTTTCTGACCTTCATTTGTGAGTCTCTGAATCATGGCCATTGATGCACTTAAATGGCCTGCTTTTGATCTCTTTTGAGATTTATTTATGGGTCTCTGAAGAGAGGCAGATAAATGAGCTTGTATAGCTTAGCTGGAGGTGGTTTGTGGGTGTAATTCCCACATACTTAACTCTCGGCCATTTAATTTCACAGGAAACTTGATCCCAAGTTGTTGGGGTCTGGCCAGAGGCACAGCAGCAATTTTGGAGTATCAGGAAGCCTGAAGGCACCATCAGGCTGCTGATGCACTCTCCTCAGAGGTGCTTTTATATATATATATCATGTGAGAGAGATCATTCTGAGTCTGTACCTCTCCCTTTGTCTGATTTCACTCAACATGATAGTATGCAGATTCATCAACTTTGCAGCTAATTGCATGACTTTATTTTTCTGCATGGTATTTCATTGTGGATATATTCCATAGTTTCTTTATGCAGTAATCTGCTCGTGGGCATTTGGGTTGTTTCCTTATTTTTGGCTATTGTATATAGTGCTGATATGAACATAGGAACGCAGATGTCTTTTTTGCATTGTGCTTTTTGGCACTTGGGTATGTTCCAAGAGTGGAATTGCTGGGTCATATGGAAGCTCAGTAATTCATTAATTAATTAATTTATTTTTTGGTACTGAATTTGTCATATACTGAATTTTTGTATGTTGCATTGAATCTACAGCAATAAACATCTGTGTTATTATTTGTGTTTAATAATAAATTATTAAGTTAATGATAATAATTCAATTTTTAGAAATATAAGTACAGAAGGATATAAATTAAAAATTATGTGAGAAGGATATAAATTAAAAATTATTATCTCAAATAATATTTGAGAATATTGTTGCTCAAGAAAGTATCATTGTGGATTTTTATGTTGTAGTAGATTTCTAGAAGCAGTGAAATAAAATAGTGAAGGACAGATTTCAAAATCTTCTGAAACAGCTTTTTGCAACTTCTAACATCATTGAAGTTTTCCATACAGTGAAAGACAATATTTCTATATACTTATGCATACTGTGCAAAAATTTTAGAGCAGGCAGCACTTACGTTCTGAAAAGTAAAGTCAGGGCCGGAGCAGTCATACAGCATTTGTCAAGAACATTTGCCTTGTACGAGGCCAACCCAGGTTCGATCTCATATGGTCCCTGACCACCGCCAGGAGTAATTACTGAGTGCAGAGCCAGGAGTAACCCCTGAGCATTGCCAGGTGTGACCCCAAATGCCAATAAATAAATATTTTTTTTTAAAAGAAAGTAAAGTTGCTGTTGAAGTGGGCATTATTCCCACTATCAAGCATTCATGTTAGCAGGCCCTTTTGAAATTGTTTTAAGAATTTATTTTTTAATAATCTTTTTCTGTCCACTTAATAACTCCAAATCACATAGATGCGAATAGACTTGATTTCATTAAAATAAATAATCTAATCCAGTAGATTATTATGTTAAAATATGCTTTGACTCTCTGTTTACCTTATGACACTGTGAGCGATCTTGTGTTTCTTCTTCTAGTTATAGTATGTTCATGTTTATCAAGAGTTAGTGCTCTCTCACTAAAACAGCATTTATTCGCCACTGCCACTGGCATTCTGATTTCTGTTCTACCACATTCCACCTCCCACTTCAAGATCTATATTTAGATAGCTTTGATTGCATCTCCCAAACAAATCTGAATGAGGTGCATTGATTCCAGAGGCCCTGACCAACTAACTGTATTGTGTCTTCTCCTCTTTCTCATTTGTCATGATGATGACTCCACTTCACGGAGGATGAAGAATCAGAAAGTAGGGAAACCATGATCAGAAAAGAGCTTTGTCAGTATGGAGAAAGAGGGAAATGAAGGCAAGCAGGGTAAATAGGACCTATCAGTCTATCAGGTCTATCAGGATATATCTATCTATATCCTTAGAGCATTCAGCCAGAACAAAGGACAATGCTTAGAGATAAGACCTTTAAACCTAGGTTAGAAAATGTTACCTGGCTGAGATGACCTCAACAAATACTCCACAAACTCAACTGCCTGGATTTAGCATCCTGGAAGTGGTACTAATTTAACCTTCTCTACTGAGGCTAAAGTATAGGACCTGTGTGAGTGCTTACCAGTTCTGTAATATCA